CCCCAAAACCCCAAAACCCCAAAACCCCAAAACCCCTTACTAACAGTTACCCTCAGTTTGCAAGAAAATTAAAATGTAATTCAATTTTATCAAAAATCTAAATATATACTCATTCTGACTGCTTTATAATCAGAATGTCTTCTACTCTTCAATTTTCTTGAGAACTTTATCATATTTTAATTATTCCTCCTTTTCTGAGCTATCTGGAATATCACAGAAAATCTCTGACTCAAACATTCTAAGTTGACTTTGAAATCCTAAATTTGGGAACATCTTGTTTCTTTTACTTCTGCCGAAGTCGTAAGCCTCTTTGAATGTCCACTTGTTCTTCCACATGAGGTAAGCAATAGTAATAGCTGCAGATCTCGACATCCCTGCTGCGCAGTGAATGAGTACTACTCCATTATTCTAAACTGCATCCTCTACAAACTAAATAGCATCCCAAAAATACTGTTTAACGTCAAACTTTGGATTGTCATCTACTAAAATGACTTTGTAATTGTAAAAGCTAGGGTATTTCGGTTTTATTCCAGCAGAAACAGTCACAATGTGAGTGATCTTTAGTTCTTAAAGGATTTGCTAATTTTCTGCAGCATACACATTTGACATGTATAAGTTTGGGAGAATTTAATCGATGTCTCTGACGCCTGGGTTGTAGCTGAAGTATGATTACATAAAATCACTTTTTATTAGATAAAAAGTTTTAAATTTAAGTTATTATAAAATTTAATACCTAGAATAATGGGTCAATAATAATCTAAGACTATAAACCAAACTCAAACAGATAATCACATTGGCACAATCCTCAGTCATGAAAGATCATAACATGGGTTATTGACTCGCTTGAATGATAACTTATAATCATAATAAACGTCAGGCCCTCTGGTTTCAGCATTAATTGCTTCTGAGGCGAGTACTTCAAATATGATCTCCTCTAGAGGACTTATTCTTCATTCTATGATGTATGGGCTAAATGTGTTCTCAGAGATCAGGTAATTACAGTAGCAATATCAGGACAATCAATATGCAGTATTCTATTTCTCAAAAGCACTATCAAATATTGGCCTCTTCATTGAATTTTTCTTCGAGATCCTGAATGAAAGGTGTGAGCCAGTTGTCGTCATCATTGAAGGTCTGAAGTCATTTTTACGACTCAGGGAGTACTCTTAACTTCTATTTAAGGAGAATATCAATGTCTTCATTGATATCGAACCCTACAAAGAATTCAAGAAGCTTAAGGAAATAAAGGAGAGTCACTTCACTTTGGTCAGAAGCAAGAAGCAGCTGCCTAAGATCCCTAATTTCTAGCCAAGCAAAAAACTGCAAGAGATAAAGGACAGATAGAAAAAGAAATTAATTGATCATAAAAGAGATCAGTATTACCAATCTAACTTTGATGAGCTGAAAGACATCATTTCAGAGAAAAGTGACAATGAAGATCATAGCATTGACCATGAAGTCTCAATTAATGGAGAAAATAGATAAAACTAATCTATGCTCAAGTAGTTTATGAACTACATTAAGAATATCTACAGAAAGTTAGCGTGCAAGCTTGGGAAATATCACTTAGATGACATACTTTTTATTCTAAGGCCTTTTGTTTACGTGTACTTTGTAATTTAATATGGCAGGAAAGATTACATGCCCATCAAGATTATATTTGCTATGGACATGATTGCAATATTGATAAGCTTAAAAAGATTGTCATAGAGCTAATCTAGTGGACTAGATGAGTCAGATCAATTGAGTTCAAGAAGAAATAAACTTAAATCCGTTGAGAGAAGAGAACTTGTAAGAAGAATAAGAGAAACTCTTCTTAAATATCTTATTAGAGATCCTATTTTTGAGGGTGTAACCAAGAGGGTTCTAGAAAAGCTATTCTCTATCTTAAGAATAAGTCCAAGACTACTTGGTCTTCTCTATTCGCTTCTAAGCTACTTTAGATACTACACATACATCGCTTGAATACAGAATATCCCCTTGAATATAAAATTGGCAATCTAATCTTTGCAATTAAAATTTTTATCCATCTTAATCTTGTTAAGAATGACGGGGTTTTGGGGTTTTGGGGTTTTGGGG